TGCCGCTTTCCACTAAGAGTGAGGCTACGCAGTAATACGGAATCAAAAGAAGAAGAAGGGGTAAGGGGGGGGGGCTTACTGGTAAGTTCAATCTTCTCCGGGGCCAGCTTGGCCTGAAACTCCTTGCTAAGATAGAGCGGATGGTAGAAGTCTCCTACGAGGGACTTGATTATCTTTCCCACATCTCGGAGGGTGACCTTTGTGGCTTGCTGGGAGACGCGGGCATAAGAATGCATAACAGATAAGATAACTAAAGAAATCCAGCCAAACTTAGATCTGGAGCTAGTTTAATGCAAATTGTTCATTAGAACGGCAATATAATGGTAGAAAACAGTAGAAATTGATTTATCCCTCTACAATGTTTCGGTCTTTTGTTGATCTGTCAGTATTTTAGGGGTCAAACTAAGCCAAGCTAACCAACGATGACATTTTCAGAGTACTAAGAATCCACGGTACATTCTTGTTCGCTTCACGACATTTCCCCCTCGGACACCGCTATCTAGGATAGAAGTAAATTATTTGAAACGTTAGCGTTTGTTCGACAAAGGCCTAATCGCACAATATAAGTTCTCTTTCTTCAAGCATCTTCTACATGCAACCTGCTCGCTTTTCTTCAGGTTTACATTACCAAGTTAGTAACTTAGTAGCATTTAACTTTTGGCCTTCCGCAAGGTGTTCATACACATTGGCGTGGTCAACAGTCACTTAACTGAGGAGGAGAAGAAGAAGTTTCGATAGCTGGGACAACACTTTTATTCGTCTGACGTTTTGACCTCCATCGCGGATTGTTCATCAGAGACATGAGCAGAAAATAGTAGCCGAAACGGGTGATACATGCACAGGAAGTTGCAGTATTTATAGGACACGGTGATTACTGCCCACGTATGACAAATAACAACAATCGCGTTCCTGTGCGTGGATTGCTTGATGATCGGCATGCGAGCCGTGACCTGCTGAACTTGCACCACGCGTGGTGGAATTGGACGTGAGGATTGCCCGGCCATTTGGTTCCCCGATCACTTAACTGCACACATTTTTCCCAACTTTCCCTCTCTCCTCAACCCCCTCCTCTGGACCGACTCCAACAAACCCCCATTGTCACGTAAATAGCCATCTATCATCGACCCCAACCTCCTCCCTCGTACTCCCCCGGCTCATTTGCATGTATTGACGAACCTAATTGACCGCACGTTTACCTTTGATCCCGTTCCCATATTAATTTAATAGCCCAATGAGAATTTATCGAAAGCTTACACATGCTCGCCAACTGCTCTTTCGAAGTCTTTGATGGGAATTTTTGCAACATTTTTGTTAATTTAAACGTGGCTCCATTTGGCTTAAGGGAAATTTTATGATAGCCAACAAAAATCACAGAATGCATAAAAAGCGATATTTTTGAAACATAGTTGTCTAGAGTGACCTGTCTCAAACTGG